CTCATTGGCTCTGGCCCCTCTTTCCTCCTCTTCCACTGAGTCGCCTNTGGGACAGTCAGGGAAGTTCAGAGGAGGAGGTGGAGGCGCAGTACTTCCGGTCGATCAACCTGATGAGCAGTCAAAAGTGGCTCCAGCGACATGGTACGCTGATTCACCAAATCAGCAATCACTACCGCCCACAGGCCTCATTGGCTCTGGCCCCTCTTTCTTCCTCCTCCACTGAGTCGCCCTTTCTCCGACTCTTCATCATTACCAGTCTCAATCAGCAGATCTACTTCAACATAGTGGTCATCGATGATGATGACGATGCTGCTGTTGCTGCTGGTCAGGAGCACAAACAGCAGTTTAACAGCAGCAGCAACAACTATCACCTCCATCACCACCACCACTCCACAGCATCACTCTACGTACCTAGTCAAATAACCAGTCATGTCTTCCTGACCAATTGTAAGTTCACACCCTGAGAAAAAGTGGTTGTGTTGTGCGGTGCCTCACGAGCAGTTGATGTGCTTTTTGAGTCTTTTTAATAAGCCACTTCTAGTAGTAGTGATGATGATGTGATCGCTACTCGCTTTAATTGCTCTATTTAGAGGGCTGCTAAGTAGTAGTATCAACTGGCAGTGGGACAATTACCTTCACTATTACCACTGTCGGTGATTGCTGGTTAATTAACCCGTAATCAACTAATAGGCGTTCAATGCTTTCCATTTCTCTCTTCCCCTTTCTCACAGATGCTCAGCTGTTCACTTCCTTATCTGCCCTATCACTATTCTCCNGTGATGATGATGTGATCGCTACTCGCTTTAATTGCTCTATTTAGAGGGCTGCTAAGTAGTAGTATCAACTGGCAGTGGGACAATTACCTTCACTATTACCACTGTCGGTGATTGCTGGTTAATTAACCCGTAATCAACTAATAGGCGTTCAATGCTTTCCATTTCTCTCTTCCCCTTTCTCACAGATGCTCAGCTGTTCACTTCCTTATCTGCCCTATCACTATTCTCCCTCGTCGTGTCTATTATTGGCTTTCGGCATTTCATTCTAGGTAAGTGCCGCCGCTGTTTCGTGATTACCGCTTTAAACACACACACACAAACGCACTTAAAACTTGGACTTGGTGTGTGCTTTGCATCTCCCTCTGTCTGACTAATCTCTCTCCGCTTTTTTTCAGAACTCTTCTACTTTACCTTCCTCCTCACANCCATTTCTCTCTTCCCCTTTCTCACAGATGCTCAGCTGTTCACTTCCTTATCTGCCCTATCACTATTCTCCCTCGTCGTGTCTATTATTGGCTTTCGGCATTTCATTCTAGGTAAGTGCCGCCGCTGTTTCGTGATTACCGCTTTAAACACACACACAAACGCACTTAAAACTTGGATTTGGTGTGTGCTTTGCATCTCCCTCTGTCTGACTAATCTCTCTCCGCTTTTTTCAGAACTCTTCTACTTTACCTTCCTCCTCACCCTGGGCCTGTTGCTCTGCGTGGGCAGTCGGACACTGCCACCAGGACTGCTGGTCCTTCAGCCCGGTGACATCAGTCCCTGGTTGTTGGTCATTTGCACTGTCGCCAGTCTGTTGGTGGCCACCGCCTGGAGCGAGTTCTGCCGGCGGACTCGAAACCTAAAGTGCGCTTTCTGTGGTCACAGTCTGGTGCTGGCCATCACCACGGTGGCCATCACCGGCGACGTCTTCATCAGTCTGCCGGTCACCTCGACGCTGCTGCTCGGTGGCGCCGGCGCCCACTACCTCTACTACATTGCCGTTCTTTCCATTCTCCTCTGCCACGGTCTCTACCTTCTCTACCTCGACTATTTTTGGGTAAGTACTTTTGGGTCATTTTTCAGTCATTTTTTATAAAACCGTTTTCTTTCTTTTAGCTGAGCGCCCTCTCCTCTTCCTTTGCCACGGTCTACTTTCTCCTCCTTCCGCTTGATCTGTACCTCTTCAGCGGCATTCTGTTCCGCATTCTCTTTCAGCTGTTTCTAGTGCTGACGCAGTTTAGCGCCGCCGCTTCCACTGCCACCACCACCGTCACCTTTATTAACTTTTCCTCGCGTGGTAAATAACGATTTTAAGTACAGCTTAATTAATTAATTGGCCGCTAATTACCTTCTTCTCTTGTTTTAGACGTCTTCTTGCTGGTGCTCTTCACACTGTTAGTAAGCGGCTCAGTGTACTGGCAGCTGATCAGCAAACTAGCCAGCAAGGGCTACGGCTTTGGGTGCATGGCACCGATGGCAGCCAAGTCGGCCAACATGTCCTCCGTCTCCTCCATTGTCGCCAACCTAAAGCTCCAAGTGCAGCCACTTAGTAAAATCGATCAGGAGATAGTTAAGCTTAAAGTGGTTGTGGATGAAAGTGTCAGAAACCAGGGAGCAGCTAAAACACAGCCCAGTAAAAAGACCAAAACATGGAGAGCAAAGAAAAGACAGAAACGATCGAAGTTGGCATTGTCATTAAACTGCGGTTGCACCGGCACTGGGAGCAACAGCGGCGGCAGCAGTAGCAAATCGAGATCCAAATCAAATTCGCCCTGTTCCTCCTTTCGAAGCCAGGCAGCGAGCACCAAAACGAAGCTGTACCGCTGTAAGCACTGCCAAAAGTACTCCACCACACGTTTTAGCTCTACGAGCAAAAAGTTGCGAAACAGTTGCGCCAAGCTTCGGGTTTAGCTTCATCAAAAACTGAGCTGCCAGAAAACAGAATAAAATTCTTACACAAAAACACTGATGACACTGACATTAACTTTGATGATGATGAATCTACCACGATTATCGACCACCCAAATGCCAACACTTACGACAATGCTCAGTTGACAGCACAATGAGTTGAAATGCTCACTTGTTTCTCTGTGCTATACTCCAAAGCACTACCAGCACTACCAACACTGTACAGATTGCACACGCACATGCACGTTCAGTAGCTCTCCACTCGGCGCCACAGAAGCAGCAACGAAGAAGCGACCTTGAGGCAATTGAACACTGCTGAGAGAGAGAAAGAGGATTCACCACACAAACAGCACAATTTCTCCTTCTCTTTTTTCCAACTTTGGCGGCTGCGGCAGTGCCAGTATTCTCTCACACTATCAGTCAGTCAGTCGCCAGCCAGAAGCACTTTCAGACACTTTCACTGTCCAGCCCAACTCAGCAGCAGCTCAGTAGCACGCCGTTTCCTCTCATTCACCACCAGCACCGCCACTTTTTGATTCCACATTTGGCTTTTTTGGAACCACTACTTTTTCGGCATTTTAGGTAAGTAGTTGTCCTGACGTGATTCTTTTTTTGCCCTTGAACTTGTGCTCCAACTTGTGCTTCTGTGTGTGCGTGTGCCTTCCTCCCAAAAAGTCTGTTTGCATTTCTCGATTTATCGAGAGCACGATCACACGAGAAGTGATCACACAAACATACACACACGCAAACTATTGTGTGCATTGTTGTAGTTGCGTACTTGCAGCCTTTTTGCAAGCACATTTCCTAATCAGTTGCCATACCATAATGCTCTCTCCTTCCATTAACAACTGCTGCTTTTACTCTCACTCTATCTTTTTCCTTCGAACTATGCACAGTGTCTGGCACAAAGCGTACATTGCCTCTTTGTGGACGTAGTTGGTATGTCCCCCTCTCTCTCTCCTGTCTGATGGTATAATTTGATCCGCTNGCAAGCACATTTCCTAATCAGTTGCCATACCATAATGCTCTCTCCTTCCATTAACAACTGCTGCTTTTACTCTCACTCTATCTTTTTCCTTCGAACTATGCACAGTGTCTGGCACAAAGCGTACATTGCCTCTTTGTGGACGTAGTTGGTATGTCCCCCTCTCTCTCTCCTGTCTGATGGTATAATTTGATCCGCTATTGACACGATGTCTAGTGCGCATTGCACAGCCAGCATTATCAATGCCATCATTTTCCAGTTTCGTTTCTAACGCAGCCTTTGCCCTTAACCACCACCACCACCACCTGCCTACTACCCACCAGAAAGTGTTTGTACAAGTTTTGCACCGACCTCTAGGTGTTCCTATTTTGTGGTGTTGGTAGTAAATCATTATTTATCCACTCGGTTTTATGCCAGCTTTTGACAGGGTTTGGGTAGTGCAGTGTTTTCCCTCTTTTAGAGTGAAAGTGCAATTGCAATNTATTGACACGATGTCTAGTGCGCATTGCACAGCCAGCATTATCAATGCCATCATTTTCCAGTTTCGTTTCTAACGCAGCCTTTGCCCTTAACCACCACCACCACCACCTGCCTACTACCCACCAGAAAGTGTTTGTACAAGTTTTGCACCGACCTCTAGGTGTTCTTCTTTGGTTGAGGTGGTAGTAGTAAATCATTATTTATCCACTCGGTTTTATGCCTGCTCTTGACAGGGTTAGGGTAGTGCAGTGTTTTCCCTTTTTTAGAGTAAAAGTGCAATTGCATATGTTGTTATTCAGCTATGTCTCAATTTCTCGATTTTTCAGAAAAACTTTCCACTTTTTCAATAAAATGTGGAAGAAAGATGAGAGTGCCACGTTTTTCTAGAAGGTTCAAAACGTTGTGTGTGCCGGTGCTGAGCGACCACTACCACACAATACACCAGGTTTTATCAAGTGGCTGCCCATGACAACGCTGTACTGTACAGGCTAAGCTAGCTTGCTCAGACGTTGTAGTGGTCGTTAGATTTCGGCAGTTGCTGCTGCTGTACACCTCATCCACGCTGTTGTTTATCAGCTCGGCACTGACGAGCCGGCTAAAAGTGCATTTCGTGCTGCTCTGCTATCACCTTGCAATCAGAAACAGCAGCGTTGGCTAGACTTATCAAATTTCAAAGCCAGTTTCACTGACAACAACTGCATCAGCAGCAGCAGCACCGGCTTTTTTGCCAACAACCACAGACAGGCTATAAAAAGGGGCACTCTGCTGAGCACGCTGTCAGCACTTCACTTCACCACCAACCACATCTTCATCTTTCTCATTTGGATTCCTTCCTTCCTTTCAGTCACTCTACCCATCCTTCAACCATGGTCGACCCAAAGTCCGTTCCCCGATACACGCTGAACAACGGCAAAACAGTGCCCGTCGTCGGTCTGGGCACCTGGCAGTCCGCCCCCGATGGTTCGGTGTACCGAGCCGTCCGCGCCGCTCTGGAGGCCGGCTACCGTCACCTCGACTGCGCCTTCATCTACCAGAACGAGGAGGAGATCGGCAATGCCATCGCCGACAGCATCAAGGAGGGCGTGGTAAGTGGTGAAAGGAAATAACATGAAACTTAGTTTAATAAAACTAACAACTGTCTATTTTTCAGCTGAAACGCGAGGACCTCTTCGTCACCTCAAAGATCTGGCTCACCTACTACCGCAAGGACCGCGTGCCGCTGTGCGCCAAGAAGATCCTCTCTGCGCTGAAGCTGGAGTACGCCGACCTGCTCCTCCTCCACTGGCCCTTTGCCTTCCAGCAGCAGGATGAGAACCTCTTTCCTACTGGAGCTGATGGAAAGATAGTCGGCGACGACGTGGACTACCTGGAGGCGTACAAGGCCCTCGAAGACCTGGTGGACGCCGGCCTCGTCCGCTCCATCGGCGTCTCCAACTTCAACGTGGAGCAGCTGAAACGCCTGCTGGCAGTTGCCCGCATCAAGCCGGTGACCAACCAGGTGGAACTCCACCCCTACCTGGTGCAGGCGGAGCTGAAAAAGTACTGCAACGACAACGGCATCGTCCTCACCGCCTACTCGCCGCTGGGCAACCCCGGCTCGGCGGTGAACTCCGCCTCCGACAAGGACAAGCTGCTGAAGGACCCGGTGGTGGGGAAGCTGGCCACAAAGTACGGCAAGAACGCCGGCCAGATTCTCATCAAGTACCAGGTGGCCAGCGGCAATCTGGTGATTCCGAAGAGCGTCACCAAGGAGCGCATCGCCTCCAACATTCAGATCTTCGACTTTGAGCTGACCAAGGAGGAGGTGGCCGAGCTGGCCGCCCTCGATCGCAACTACCGCTCCTGTGGCTTCGAGATGACCTCCCACCTCAAGAACTATCCCTTTGCTTAAGCAGCAGATTCAGCAGCCCCATCTTTGATGATCATTTAATTTCCTATTCCTCCTGTGTGTAAAAGCTTCAGATGGTAGGGCAATAATAAAGTAAAGTACAAGGGCGTTACAGTCGCTTTGCACTCAAAACACTCGTTTCTTTTTTAATAGAAAAAAATGGGATTTAATCAAACGCATTTTTTGTTTGTTTGTTGAGGCTCTAGAAAATGCTCAAAAATCACAAAAAGAAGTTATGGTTCAACAATATTTTAAACTTTGTAGGGGCTGGCGTCCCAGCCACAGGACTAGTACATCACAACTTCAACATTCTAGCAATACTTTTTTCTAAATATCAACATTAACTGAACTGTCATTGTTTCTTTTATTTTGAAATGCTTTTATCTCAAAACAATTTTTTAACAGCTAGCAAACACTGTTTATCTATCCAAAACATCCTCTCAATAGCACTATGAAGTCATTTGCCAAAATCAAAGTATAGTAATCTACTTTTAAAACTGAAAAACATTTTATTTTTTTGCAAATTGACTTTACAATGATTAAAAACAACAATGGATAATAAAAGCAATGGAATGCCATTCAAATTTAAAGATTCTGTTTCTGTTGTTCATTGCTTTAAAAACTTTTTTAACAAATCTAAATCTGGTTTGTCTAAACTTGAATCGCCGTATTTGTACACAAAAGATCATGTGTACGATTTTATGCTGTATTATATTAACAAATTAGATTCCGACAACAATATTATTTTAAATGTTTTAAACTTTTCAACAATTTGTGTAGTTGTTAAAGCTTCTATTATTAATTCAAATAATGAAGTATGCAACACAAAAGGTTAAACTTAATATTATTTTGCTTTATATTTTAAAAAAATAATTTTACTTTTTAGAAATCAAATTCAAGTTTAACGAAAACAAAAAAAACAAACTTTTTTTAAACTTTTCTTCAAAAAAGGAACTTAAAAATAAATATAATGGGTTTTTGATTGATAACAACTTAAAAATTCAACTTGAAGTATTTTTGTTGTTTTTTACATTTTAACTTTTTACTAATTTTACTTATTTAAATTATTTTTAGATTTTTGAAGTTGAAGAAGTTCTTGACTCTAAAAATATTATGAGAAAAGACTTTGAGACTCTACTAGAAACTGGAAACTTCAGTGATGTGATTTTTGTTGTCGAAAACAAAGAACTTTGTGCTCATAAGGCAATTATTTGCGCCCGTTCACCTGTTTTTGCTGGAATGTTCCGCAGTGAGTGCAAAGAAAGCAATGAAAATCGAATTGTCATCGACGATGTGCCAGTAAATCTATTTAAAATGTTACTTCAGTTTATTTACACAAACCAAGTAACATGCGCAAAGAAATATGCAACAGAGCTGTTTATGATTGCTGATATGGTAAGTTTTCATAGTGTTTTTTAAAGATTTACAAACTGTTTATTTGCAGTATCAAGTTGATGGTTTAAAGCAAGAGTGCATCAAATATTTGAAGAAAAAAACAACAGTTAAAAATGCAATTGAACAGCTGCTTTTAGCTGATCTTTTCAATTCTGAGCATTTAAAGTTTCACTGCATTGAGTTCATATGCATTAACGCCGATGCTGTCATCAAAACCAAAAATTGGAAAATTTTTAAAGAAGAGTTTGCAAAAACTTATGCTCATTTAGTGGTTGAGCTTTTTGAAGTTTTTGCAAAAAATATTAAATAAGAAGGAAAATGATGTTTTTGTTTTTGACTATATTAAAATTGTTTTTAATTATTTGTAATCTTACCAACTTACTAATTTTTTTAACTAACAACAAAGCTAAAAATAAAACCCAACTTAAACTACACAACCTTGCCTTTTGTGCAAGATAAACTTTGTCAAAAACTACTGTAAACCAATTGACTCTGCAGAGTAGTTTGCCAATAGACAACTGATAATGATGCTGCTGCTGCTTATGATGATGATGATAAGACAACAAACCAGCACATTAATTAGTTGTGAACACGAGTGCACAAAACACACACACATCAATTTGCAAAAATATTTTATGAACAAAATGCATTATGCTCACCAACAGGCGATGTAACGAATACGACCTTCAATTGGCGGTAATTACGGCACCAGTGTGCATTTTTTGCCGTCCTTGACAGGGGCTATCTCATAACGGCTGTAACTGTTGCACTTTTCCACCGACCAAAGATGCTGTTGTCAGTTGTGACAAAGAGTGTCAGTGACTATCATCAAAGACGGCGGCATCCTATGCCAATGCATCCATTGATTAGAGGTGCAAAAAGGTTACACCATTTTTGTACCCTCACAATTTTTTTAATTTGTAGGTATATAAAGTGAGTCTTTGCGCGGCAGACTGCACACTATTAACTGTTTGACCTGCAGAAGCATTTAGTAAACATCTGAACAACTTTTTCTGAATTTTGACAACAAATTAATTTTCAAAAATGGACCTCTTCTGGATTCTAGTGGCGCAGCTGATACCACTCGGACTGTTTGTCTACTTGTAAGTGCTGTTTGTTTACGTCTTTTTAAAAATCATGTTTTCATTTTTTTTTCTTTTGGCATTTCAGCTACTTCCAGCGCAAGTTCAGCTACTGGTCGTCGAGGGGCGTCTCCGGGCCACAGCCCTCGCTGCTGAAGTTCGGCAACATGCGCGACTTTAGCATCAAGGGCTTGACGGAGTGTGAGCGCGAATGGACGCAGACCTTCGACAAGGCCTATGGCATCTACCAGGTGACGACGCCCATTCTCACCATCCAGGACCCGGAGCTGGTGAAGCAGGTGCTTGTCAAAGATTTCGGGGTTTTCGTAAATAGAGACAAAAACCTTTTTGATCACGAGTACTTCATCAGCAATCTGTTCAACTCGGAGGATGAAACGTGGAGGCGAATCCGCTCCATCACTAGGTACGGCTGAGTTTATCAAACTTTACTAACCCGTTTCTAACTTTTTATCCACTCCAAAAACAGCCCAAGCTTCACTACCGGCAAGTTAAGAGGTAAAGTTGAGGGAAAGTTGTGATGTAAACAAGACACTTTTTCACTAACATAATTTCATCATCATCTTTTGACAGGAATGCACGAAATGATGAACAAGTGCGTCGTCAAGCTGGAGAAGTACCTGGAGAAGGTGAGCAAGGTGAACGGCGGCGAGATGAACGTCAAGGAGATCCTCACTGGATTCACCGTCGACGTCATTGCGACCACTTCATTCGCCACTGAGACAAACCCAAACGGAGAGATGAACACCCAGAATGTGTTTGTGAAGAACGCCACCAACCTGGTGGACTTTGCCGTCTGGCGGATACTGT